CACAGACTGTAAGATCATGACCCGAGCTGAAGTCGGACGCTCAACCGACTGAGCCACCCAGGCGCCCCTAAATAGCATTATTTTCAATGTGATAGTACATTTGCAATACAAGAATCCCTCTACTCACTAGCCTCTGGTAAATAAATGTCCTTGGTCAAGATGAGAACACAGAATATGAAGCCTGAAAAATACTGGTCATATGAGAAATCTGGAAGCTTCACAGAAACAAAGACAACGGTTCGCTTTGTACTTCTTCCAGTGACTGAGCAGAACCTAATAGAAGACAGACTCAAAACCACAGGCCTTTTAAGTGACCAGTTTTCGCAGAGTGTTTCAAGAGGGAGGTCAGAAGGATTTTTTTTTTTTTCTGTCTTATAAATATGTTCCTAACAGTCACTGTGGAAGATTGCTCAACCCTTGCATGGATCCCTGAAGAGGTTCGATTCAGTTTCACCATCTGTCGAGTACCTGATAGATCTGTGTTAAGAGTTGTGGGGAACGGTAGATGATGGGAGTGTTCTTCAGTCTTTTCTTCGTTTTGCTCCTTATCTCTCCTTACTCTGGCCAGAGATCCTTTGTCTGTAGACATTTTCTTCCTGATCACCCCTCCGCAGATGCATCAGATACCGGTTCATGTGCTGTATGCGTATCTGTGCTTGAGACTTAGAAAAAGAGTATGAATCTCTCTGCCCCAAGAACCAGTTGTCCCTTGGGGACCTTATCTAAGGTGGTGGCCCTGTCACCAAAGCGGGTGCATGTCTTCCATTAATAGTAGTCTCCGTAGTTCCTGGTCAGGAGGCTACGTGAACGTTCCCGGAGACCTCGGTGTATTTCTGTGCTGGACTTTGCTGCTCAAGCTGACTGGGATCCTGCCTAAAGTCCTTGTGCTTCACTGAGGATCCCACATACGAGCACTTCCTCCAGCTTACCAGGAAAGTTGTATCGTGGTCCTAAGAATGAATGCATCAGAGTGCTTCTTACTCGTGGCCTGCTATAACCAGGGAAGAGTGAAATAAGAAACCTTGACACTCTTCTCTGTGAGCTCGGTTGATGGTTGTGCGTGATCCACAGGCTGTGAAACCGGAGATAAAGCACAGTGGGTAATGGAAATCAGGCCTCCCTGTTATTCTGAACTATCAGTATAACAAGTGTTGGTGCCCTTTATCTCAGCTTTTCGTACCTTATTTACCTTTTTGTCATTTACTACACAGGAAGCATCCAGGATGTGGGAACATTGTGACATTTGCACAGTTTTTATTTATTGCCGTGGAAGGCTTCCTCTTTGAAGCTGATTTGGGAAGGAAGCGGCCAGCCATCCCAATCAGGTATGGCACATTGAAGTCTCTTTTCGCCTTTGTTTTAAAGAAGTTCAGAACTTTTCTGGTACCTAGATAAAGGAGAATGAGGCATCTGTGCATAAGATCTGTGTCAAAGGTATTAGAAGAATAATAAGGGTAATTCATTTTCTGCATTTAATATGTTGTGAAACTACAGGGAGACTATTTTTAGAATAAAACTCCTGTAGTTTCACAACATATTAAATGCAGAAAATGAATTATGAATTACGATGGAGACAACACTGTGTGTGTGCGTGTGTGTGTGTAGTAAATGGTTGGTTAAAGGCTTAGTGTGACCACAGATTTTTTTTTTTAATAGTTATGTATGCTATCCTCATGTTGGTAAAGTTATCAGATACACTAAGAGCGGTATTATTGTTCCTTTTTAAAAATGACGGGGTTTGGGGAATAAACAGAAATGGTGGTTACGCAGCCTTGTGAATACTGAACGCTACCGAATTATTCACTTCAGAACGGTTGATTTTGTGTTTCGTGAACTTCCCCTCAATTAAAAGAAAATGAAAGGTAAGCTAAGGCAAAATTGTTAATTCCAGACCTCCACCCCTTTGTCCACATTTGCATAACTGTACTCATGGGGTCAAATAGGAAACAGGACAGCTCTTCTAATGAACAGCGTGTTGGAAATTCAGCATTCTCGCTGAGACGGACTTGAGGTAAAAATGTAATGCATCCAGTTGTCAGTCTGTAGTAGAATCCTGTTACTAAATTCCTTTGACAGGGGTTTTCTGGTGTGAATGTATCAGAGGACTAGTTAAGGCTCATCCTTGTTGGTATTCTTTTGCAGCATTCCTGAGTAGTCTGCTGTAGAGAATCTGGCTGAATTTTGTTACTAATATTGTACTTCTGAGTTTCCCAGTGCAATGCTAAGTATTCTTGAACACATTGTTTTCCATTGGCTTTAATATCGACATAAAACTTTCTGCTCCTGAGACCAACATTTCTATCCCAGCAGGAGCCCCAGCATTTTTGATTCCTCTGACCCTTTCCCCCTTCCTCCCACTATCTCTTTCCATTCTGGCTGCCACTAGCACAGTTCAGGAACACGTTCACCCTCATCATTAGCTTTTGTAAATGGTGCCCTAGCTGGCCGGCCTCTTGTCTCCCACCCCTGCATCCCTGTGTTTTGATTTCCTACCATTGTATTGTGACACCGCCCCCCACCTCCCCCAAGCACTCAGGGGTCACCAGTAGGCTCAGAGGGGAGCCTAGCTGCCTAACCTGCCTTTTGAGGCCCCCCCAGGGTCTTGCCCTAACAGTCATACTTCCACGTGTGTCCATTGTGCTGGCTGTTTTATTTTCTATGTGAGAAGAAGCTACCATCAAAATCTTGACATCATGGGCATGTCCTTCATTGCCAGGAGCAATTTCTAGGCTGTGCTATGTAGACAGCAATGTGGAATAGTTGGAATTCACTATCCTAAAAGACCTTGATGAACTCTCTTTATCTCCAAATGGCATCCTTTCAAGATAGGACTAAGAAAATTTGGCAAGAAACCTTGTGAAGTCACCAATAGTATATTATTTAGAAACTGTGAAAATAGTTGTTCCCAGTGTTAAAAAAAATTCAACTAAGTAAATTTGAAGATCTGATTGGTTTTATTAAATGATTCATGAATCAGGCCTTATCACATCTAGCAAGTAGAGGGGAACTCCACTGAGCTGAAGAAGAGAAAGGCTTTTAAAGGCAGAGGACATTAAAGAAGAAGAAAGGAATTTATTAGCAAGATATGAATCGTTTAGGCAAGGTTGTCTCTTAAGGGGAGAACGGGTCTATCAGAAAATTCCCTAGTATTGGCCAGGAAATTCTATGTTGACTGATAAAAGATTGTATTCCGGGGGGTGGGGAGGGGTGGAGGGTTGAAATTGCAGTTGGGTTAGGAATTAGCTCTCCGTTTACTGACTTGGGTTCATAACCTAAGTGGCACCATTTTGGGCCTGCCGTTTTCTTTTAACAAATTACCGCCTTTTGATCAGACTGTCAGCTTAGCTGAGATATGTGATAAAAATTTAAGGCGTTAGCATCACTCTCAGTTACCGCTCTAAAGTTCTTGAAGTTTTGGTTGTTCCTTTTTGTGGTATCCATAGGTCTTAACCTCTATGATATTCACAGGTCACAGCTTCATGCTCCTTAAATCCGTTATTTTCTTTGTTCCTTAGATGTTCCAGTCTTAGGGAGATCATTTGCTTGGTGGTTAGTGCCTATATGCATTTAAAGCTTTTGAAAGAATACAGTGCAGCAGGGAGATGATTATCATTACTATAAGCAGGATAAATCCCAGTATATGGAGTGCACTTTAGAGCCGTGGTCCCCAAGACCCAAACCGATCAAAATCAAATAAGTCAAAGAAAGACCCTTTGGAAAGAGTCACCTTCTTAAGCCAAGCGATCTTACATAATTGAGTTTCAGTGTCCCCAGAAGTGTCAGTCTAGGCATAGCTGGTGGTGTTTGCCACAGCATGGACACCTCTTTGGTCAGCCAATAGATAATTAAGAATTATTCCATTATCAGGGAGAGCTTTGGCTAGAGAGTTTAAGGATATTTGTTGAGCTGCTATTGTTTTAACAGGTTTTTGCAGTAATTTTAAGAATTAAGGAGCAGTTCTTTATCATAGCCTCATGCATCTATCCCTAATCAGGGAAACAGGGACCTGTCAAAAGGAGTGAATTATAAATCATGAATATCTTCTGGTAGGCGCTCTTTAACTCAGCAGTGTCAGTTTAGGGGAGTTGACAATGAGATTCTAATTTTGTTTGTGAAAAGTTAGGTGCGCAGGGAGATTGTTTATCCTGAAATAAAGGTTGTTTAAATATCAGAGGTTGCCAAGTTACAAGGACATTAGGATGGCAAAAGTCTGGCAGTGAGGGGAATAGACTTTATTCACATGTGCCACAGTCTTACAAATATGACATAAAGGCTTAGTGTTACTTTTTTGACAATGCTTTCCATGTAATATACATATCAAATAAACCTAATTCATTTAGCAAGTGCTTTGAAATATTCTAGGTGAAAAGGACTTCATTTAGGAAGTTAGACAAAAATATTTTTTAAAAAGGTTTTAAAGCACTTCCCTAAATAAGATCACAGATGATTATGAAACCCAATACTTAAAATAAGTTTTTAGTCTTACCTAAATCAGATCAAAAGCCCAAGAAAACTTTGTCCTTTTAACAGAAAGAAAACCAAATTCTTATTTAGTGCCAGCTTATAATTCCTTTTTTTAATGTTTATTTATTTATTTTGAGAGAGAGCAGGGGAGGGGCAGAGAGAGAGGGGGAGAGACAATCTCAAGCAGGATTCATGCTCCACACTGGCCTTGATCTCACAAACCTTGAGATCATGACCTAAGTGGAAATCAAGAGTCGAACACATACCCCAGTTGAGCCAAGAGGCACCCCCAAAACTCATTTTTTAAAATACATTTATTTTCATCTTAACCAGCTTGACCACACATGAAAATTCCTGTTTAAAGATTCTTTTTTCTGCAAACCTACAACTTTTTTCCCCCTACGTTCCAATTTTGTCCTATGTTTTTTCTTTTCTCTTTAAACAACCAGCCTCGTTTTAGGACAAAGCGACTTCCTTTCCCCTTAACAAAAACTGTATTGAAAGAGAACTTCTGCTGACTCCATTTTGACCTCAAATTCTAGCTGGGTTCTTCTCTCTAGCTTGTCTCTTGGCTCAAGCTGAAGATCCAGCGGGCAAAGTGTCCCATGAAGGGAACTGAAACTGCCCCCTCAAGCAGTAAGGACCAGCAAGACCCCACCCATGATTGACTCCAAGATAGTGGCCAGTTTGACTCCCTCTGCCCACCTGCACGTACTCACCCACTTTGCCCACATTTTCTTTATATAAACCTGAGAGTATTTTCAGCACTTCGGAGATAGTCTCTCAGATGCTAGTCCCCTGTCTTCCTGCCCTTGGCGTCACTGAAATAAATTCCTCGTGCCACCACCCCTCGTCTCTCTGCCTTTGGATTCCCTCAGTGGCCAGTGGCTGAACCTGGTCTGTTTGGGACCCCCAGAGCCACGCATGCGCTTGTGCACGCCTGTGCCCCAGCTACATGATCTCCGTTTCTCATACCTTTTTCTCCTGAAAACACATCCTGCTTTCCTGCCACACAGAAATGTTTTCCTTATTATTTTTATTTATTTTTTATTTTGATTATTTTTAGTAGCTTTAATTACATACATTGATTAGAATTGAATACATTTCAAAATTTAAAAAGCGTTTGCCTTTTAAAACTTTCCAATGCAGTATTAACATCCACATATCTTTTAGTTTCTCTTCAATAAGAGGCCAAAATTAGAGAAACTTACGTTTAGTAATTAATGTTTTAGTATTTTGTCTCATTTGGAAATGATCTAGATCTTGTAAAAGTTTTTAATTCCAGTTAGTTAACATACAGCGTTACAGTAATTTTTCACGTACAGTATGGTGATTCAGCAGTTCTGTGGATCACCAGGTGCTCCTCATGACCAGTGCACTCCTTAGCCCCCATCACCTACTTCACCCATCCTCCACCCCCCCACCCCTCTGTTAACCACCAGTTTGTTCTCTGCAGTTAAGAGTCGGCTTCTTGGTTTTTCTCTCTCCCTCCCAAAGGGAGTGAAATCATATGGTATTGGTCTTTCTCTGACTGACTTCGCTTAACATTGTATCCTCTAGCTCCACCCATGTTGTTGCAAATGGCAAGATTTCATTCTTTTTTATGGCTGAAAAGATTTTCATTCTTTTTTATTCTTTATTCATCAACCGATGGACACTTGGGCTGCTTCCATATCTTCGCTATTATAAATAATTCCGTAAACATCAGGGTGCATGTATCCCTCTGAGTTAGTGTTTTTGTATTCCTTGGGTAAATAGTTTAATTACTGGATCGTAGAATAATTCTGTGTTTAGCTTTTTGAGGAACCTCCCTATTGTCTTCCACAGTGGCTGCACCAGTTTGCATTCCCACCAACTGTGC